TCCACCCAGCTATTTCCCTTCTGTGTATCTTCCCAGAAGAATTAAAAATGTCATACTACAGTGATACATGCACATCCATGTTTATAGCAGCACAATTTGTAATAGCTAAATCATGGAAACAGCCCAAATGCTGTCAACCAAGAAATGGATAAAAACAGATGTGGTCTTTTTATACAATGGAGTACAACTCAGCCATAAAGAAGGATAAACTGGAGACTTTTATAGGTAAATGAATGCAACTTGAGACCAAACACATCAGTGAAATAAATCAGACTCTCATGTGTAAGCATTATATTGTCTCCCTGGATACTCCCTATTACTCCCAGACTGAAAGAGTAAATAAGGTCTAAAATATGCAGCACATATTGTGAAATGGGAAGAACTTGTTCAAAAGCAATTTGGATGGGAGAAATGGGGAAGGAAGGGAAAAGGGTAAAGAATGTGTGAGTTATACCACTAGTGTCTCTTTATTCACTGAAAACAATTTGTGCTAATATCAATTGGAGACTTTTTATGCCCATATTTTGTACTCTGAGTAACTACTTTAAAGATAGCAATATGTAATGTATTAACTGTTGTTAATCTCTTATTATGCTGTTATGAAACTTTGTTTTACTTTTTTCCCATACAATAAAAAATTAAAATACAATAACAGTCATTGTACATGTTAAAAAATGTGGTCAAGCCTCCAACAGTGTATTAATTAGTGTATGAGGGATACAGGAAATAGCTTAACTTGATTTTGTTTAATCATAGCCCTTACTAGTAGAAGATTCACATGAGATAAAGTTCCTGAAACCATCAGGTCAAGAGAGCCAGAGTTTTCCATTATTTTCTTCCTTTCCCACATCTTTGGATAAATGCATACTGTTTCATATAGACAATTTTGCTTCCTAAATAGAATACTCCAGAAAAGCTTACTGCCATCAGTGTGTACATCTTGTTTGATATAACACTGGTTATTTGAAAACTATTTTTACTCAAGATAAAAGTCAACAGGATTAGCTTCAAAACAAGTAGCTTTGAAATAGTGTAGTTAACCTGGAGAATATGATGAAGGTTATATGGCAGGATAAAACTTAATTTACTAATTTTAAACCAACAAGTTTGAAAGCTATTATAAAAGTTGCTTTATGAGACTATATGCTAAAAATCGAGGAGGTAAAAACAGTAAAAACAGTATGCCTCATATTCAACAGACAGGCACTGTGTATTCACAAGTATAATCTTGCTAAAGGACAAACTGTTCCCCCGTTTTACTTGCACCTCTAAGGACAAAAAAGAACGGCGTTGCCCCCATATACTCATATATCCTTGCTGAAAATGTGATTTGGTTTTCCTGATTAATTTTTGGAAGTTGGTTAAAATGATCAACTTTTAAATATTTCATATTTTTAATAAAATGCATATTCTTCAGTGTCCTATACATGCCCATAAGACATGTGTGTTAATTCCACACATCTCTCTCCTTGCTGGTGTTTTTTCACTTTAGTCTATCAATTCGTAAGAAAAGTTTGCTAAAACATTAGATTCAAAAGATATAACACTCTTTGTGATTCCGACTTTTCCTTTGTTTTATAGTTCTAAGACATAGTGTTAGGTACATTTAAACTTAAAGACGAGATGGTGATTGAATACTTTATCAATACGTTGATCTTCACTGTCCTTAGAATTGCTTTCTAATTTAAACATAAATACCTTTATTAACACAACTAAGCCAGTTTTTCTTTGGTGGGTATTGTCCTGTTATCTCTATTTGTCTTCATTTTACTTTCAGCTCTTGCAGGAGTTTGCTGAAGCAGTGGTGGGGATCAGACCCCATGCTGCGTACATCCTACGCAAGCCTCCATCGCTGAGTTACATCCACAGCCCTTGTAATTCTTTCCCTTTGAAACGGATGCTCCTGCCCCAGACGCACCACCATCCCTGGCAGAAGTTACAATTCTCAAATGCAATACGGTGAGGGTGATCTTTTCGGTCTTCTTCCTTTTTAATATTGCATGAACATATCTGGGTTTTTAGCACATGATATGTACTCTTTCTCCTCTTATGTGTTTCTTCTGTCTTTGCTTTTCTATTTGGTTGAACTAATCACATTTTATGACACTGTGATTATCCCTTTTGTAGTTAAATGAAGGGGTCAGAAAACTCTGGCCCTTGAGCCACCCCCACTTGTTTGTACAAACAAAACACTCTGAGCAGCTCCACTCACTAATTTAAGTATTTTCCATGATGGTTTTCAAAATGTAGAAGCAGAGTGAAGAGTAGTGGCCACAGAAACACAAGGCCCAAAATATCTATCATCAGGCTCTTCACAGCAAAAGTTTGCCAACTCCTTATATTCTACATCTGATAATTTAATAAATGGATTCTTTTTGAGATGGAGTCCACAATTCATTCTTTGACGTTTACAGTGCCTTCTTTGCACTGCTTTGGTTCCATGACATCTTTTCTTTGGGATCCTTGAGGCCTGAGTTGAAGCTGCAGTCCCTCTAGGGGGATTCGCATTTGCTTCTTCCAAAAGCTCATCCGCTCCTCCACTTTGGCCAGACTTTTAGAAATTAGGGTCCTGTCCTGGGTACATACATGAGTGACTTTGTAGATGCGGCATGTCGTGTGCTTCTGAGTCACAGGTCCATGTGACTATCCCACGGTGACACTGTCCCCTCACGGCCCACAGTCCAAGCAGACCGCCTTGCCCTATGGCCCTTCCTTTCCCCGCTACTGGGCATCTCTTCCCTGAACCTCTGCCCGGGCATCTGTGCATCAGCCAGACTGCTTGTGTCCAGGGCACTGAGTCACAGAAGCCAAAGCTCTCTCCTGCTGGAAGATGCTCTTCAAGCAGGCCATCCATGTAATGACCGCTATTCTGGGGGACTTGTACTCTGGTCTCACTGTCTTTTCTCTGTGTTTCACAATTTCTTTTGTCTCAATCTTAGCATGTATTTAATGTACTGATGATTAATATATAGTCTAAACAATCTTATTGCCTTGGTGATGCACAATTAAGAAAGTAGTTCTTGCCAGGCATTGTGACCCACATGTGTAATCCCCACACAAGAGGCTGAGGCAGGAGGAGCAGGGGGGTCATTGTGAGCAACCCTTCAGTTTGAATAACATAGTCAGACCATATCCAAAACAAAAACAAACTTCTGCCCTGGGCTTTTTGTATAGGTATTTGCAGGAAAATAAAAATAGTTCAGCTTATAAAGTATCTTCTGCTGTATTTCACTATGCAGTAGATGCCACAATGAACTCAAAGGAAAAAACGTGGCTCATACCCCACTAAGCCATTAGGCTACGCCCTGTTTCAAAGTCCATTGCAGCTGGAAACTCTTGCACAGTCTTACTCCGCCCCCCCCCCCATGCACAAACTTACACTTCCTTTCCCTCTCCCTCCCTCCCTCCCTCTCCCCAGCGCCCCCCTGCAGAATCCAGGCCACAGTGCGTCCGTCCCTGTGCCCTCTCTCAAGGGTGCATTCACACAGGTACCTCACACGTGATCCTGGGGTATCTGCCCCCAGGAAAGCTGAAATTACAATGTAAATGCTAAGGTAGAGGTTCTTAATTTTCTGAGATTTCTTTGAAATTTTTAAATGCTGTATCTGATTTGAGTTCTTGTCTTTAAAATTCCTGTTTTCCAAATGCCTAGGAAATAATTTTTTGCAGAAACTTTGCTGGTTTTATAATTGCTAATTTAAATATAATTTAATTTTCTACCTAAGTAAGAATAAACTCTGGCATTGTTTGTTACTTTCTTTGTGATTTTGATCTTAACAAACTTGATAAAACCCAGCTGTCTGCACGCATGTATAGTACGTAGCAACCTAGCACCATGTATGCTTTGTTACCAAGAGCATCTTCACTCTAACTTTAAAAAGCTCCCAACATAGGAAAGAGGTAGTTCAAATTTCAGTTTGAATGACAGATAGAGTGTTTGTCTGGATACTTGTGAGATAGTTGCTTGTTTGGGAATGCAGACTTCTTCTGTCCCAAGTGGAACATGGCATAGGCTAATTACTCGTCGTAAATGTCTTGCTAGATGGTATTTGCCAGGCTATAAAGTACCCCATAGTGTCTAATTCAAATGCAGTGCTTGTGATACAAGCATTATAAAATCACAGTTCTTCAGTTGAGAAAACAGAATTTTCTGTTTTCTCCTGTTCAATATAGGCTATTTTTGTCTTAGCTTCAAAATTATGAGTACTTATAATTTATGCCTTTCTGTTTCCAAAATACATAAGAGCTATTTTTGCGCAACAAAATCTGTGTAAACATAAGAACATTTAAAATATACACAATCAACTTAAGAGGTCAGCTCATTAATCAGTTAAAAAGCACATTATATCCGGTGATTTTTTTTTTTTTTTTTTGGTACCAGGAATTGAACTCACAACCTCATGCTTGCCAGGCAGGCGCTATACCGCTGAGCTATATCCCTGACCCTAAGCACTTTATATCTGTTAAGAAAGACTAAATTTTCTGATTTCTAGTAATACCTTAAGTATTACCAAACTAATACTAAGATTTTACTATAATACAGTACTTAGTTCGAAACAATGAGTGTGTGTGCATATATATTTATATACATACGTTCAGAAAACCCAGCAATACTGTAGGCCCTCATATCTCTTGCTCCACCACCCTTCTCCAAAACAAGTACGGCAGTCTTGTCATGGTGGTGCACACCTGTAATCCTAGCACTCTGGACACTGAAGTAGGAGGATCCCAAGTTAGAGCACAGCCTGGACAACTTAGTGTCTTAACTAGACCCTGTCTCAAATATTTTCTAAAAAAGAATGGGGATGTAACTCAGTGCGAAGGCCCTAGCTTGAAGCCCCAGTACTGCAAAAATAAATAAATAAATAAATAAATAAATAAATAAATATCTCTCTTCTAGTAAGAAAAAGAATAAAGGAAATGTTTTTGCATCCTAATTTCTCCCAAGTTTTCATATTTCTTGGTTATTTGAACAGATTAAAAATTCTATAATTCATTGATTGGTGCTTTGTTCATTTAATAATGAATTAACTATAAAAATACAAGAACACTGTTTTGGTAATTGAAAACAACATCACATATCATGTAGTAATTTAGAAACATTTTACAACTGATAAATATATTTATATTGTAAATTTTATGATGTAGTTACATTTATAATTCTCTTAAAGGACCAAATCAAGAAGCACAATAGAAACTAGCATCACAAGTTTAATATATTTTAAAATATAGAAATATATTTAAACAGTACATTTAAAGAACAATATTATAAATTTCTATTTCTTATTCTCACTGTAGGACACTATTAATTGAAAATATATTACTTAATGTATCCCCAATATATTTAATGCCACATTTTCTACAAGATAAACTGTATTTTAAAACAATATTATAAAATACCTGAATTACAAACAAGCCATAATGATTTGGAATCAATTACTGTTAAAATTTTGTCTGAAAAATCCAAAAGGGAGATTATTGAATGGTTCTTTCTGAATATTTTAGATGAACTGTAAATAAGTTTAACCATAGAATTACCATAAGTAGTAACTGATCAAACCAAAGGTCATTCCTCAAAAAGTCAGTGTATGTTAAAGAAAGACCTTAGAAGGCATTTCAATGGAGAGAAAATACATTAATTTCAGAAGCAAAAACACTTACACACAGTCACAAGAGAACCTTCCCATTTGGAATTATTTGTGCTTGGAGGAAGGTTTATGAAATCCCTTCACAAAATAAGGTTTGCATTGAGTTCATTCTCACAGATATGAAAAATGGATCTCAGCTGTTCTTTTCAAATGGCAAGTCTGTCAAAGCCATTCTGGGATTTTTGGTAATTTCCTTCAGTTTAGTTTCAGTACTTTTACCCCAAATAAAATTCCTTGCATCACATCAATCAACAAATTCAGTTATAAAAGAGAGCAAAGAAGCTGGCTGTGTCAGCACCCTCCAACTCCGGCACTTTTTAGGCATGTGGGGACTCTGTGGGGATGGAAGTGAGCACATGTAAATGTTTCTTTATTTTGGATGAAGTTTTTAAATCTGAAAAAAAAAATCTGCAGCAGTAGTGTTCTAGATAATGGCAGACATGCATGATTTATTTGAGGTAAGAAGGTTGCACTACAATTTTTTTAAGTGTTAATTTGGAAAGTTATGGACACAGCTAAAGCCTGTCTCCATAGAATTCTTGAAACTTTGAGCTCCTGGAAAAATCTTCAGCTCATAAGCCAAGAAGGAATATACTCCTACAGTTACACTAACTTTCTTAAAGCAAACAGTTACAACAATTGTGTGCAATCTCTCAGCTTCTACATCCTGCCTACCATTTATTTATTCAAATCCAGTTTAACACTTTACTTTATCTAATAAAGCTGAAAGTCTGAGAGAAAAAAAATATGTTTATCCAAGCATTCTTTGTTTGGATTCTTATTTTTTTAAGTTTTATTTCTAAATAAATATCCTATCATAGTTTTCATTGGCACAAGATAACCAAATGTATTCAATTTCCTTGAGCAATATTAAACAGTCAAAGGGGGTCTGTTTAGTCTCAGAAAATTATATAAAAATTGTATTGGAAAAATATTGAAGCAGAATAAAACTGGATTCAGTGTATCCCCATTGAAAGTTAGACTGAATGATCTATTGTATAACATAGTGAACGAAAATTAGATTTCACTGATAAGGCATCTGCAAAGGAGGATGTATACTTTCAAATAAATAAAAATGACTATATACATATTATACATATGAAGAAAGATGAAATAATTCAGACTAATTTAGGAAATCGCCCTTTTGTCTGCTCTTTATTGCAGTCATAAACCTTAATACAAGTATTTTTGTTATTACCATAAGTATTTAATGTTAGTGGCAGCCACATGAGCGCACTACCATATTTCTATATTTTTTCAAAATGACATTGGAGCTATCATCAAAGTACAGAACAGAGATGGCATTTAATTTGGTTGGAGCACAGCAAGGCTTTGGTACATGGTCGGGAAACATCAGATGGACCTAGAACAGAAAAAAAAAAATCTTCTTATGAAATAAGGTACATTAATATTTTGTTTATACCTTTAAAACAATATGCTTGCTTTACAACACACACAACAGGCAAATCTTTAATCTGCCTACCATCATATTTATGTTCCATAACTGGGCTGAGTTGGCCCTGGTGGGAAGGGTGTATTTGTAAGCAACAACACCAATACCCAACTCACTAGTTCTAATTATGTCCTGATGTATTTGAGGTAATAAAAGCTATCCATTAAATAAGGAAAAGTCTCTATGGATCATTCAATGGAAATTTTCCTAGGGAAAGGACATGGTAACTAGCAGAGTTGCTTTTAGGTGAAATGTGACTATTTTTATTTACATGTTGAGAAATATGAAAGTTCTAATCGCAAACCAAAAAGACATAGTAGGATTGCAGAAAGATTTGGATCAACGGGTTATTTTTAGAAGGATAATCAGTGATAAATCATCAATATTATGCCAACTTTTAATTTTCCATGGTGATGGGATTACAACAATCATAATGAAATAAATGCAGATCAAACCCAGTACTTCTTTTAAACCAATGATTTCAGCTCTTCTCCGCAGTATTTTTTGTTTACTCTACTTTATTTTCTTTGACCAGACTGGGTGAAGTTTAGTATCATTTTACATCCTCTCTCTCCTGCCCACTCCCTGGACGAACTGCCAAAAGCAAGTAAAATTAATGCAGAAGCGAAAGGACCAGATTTCATAAGTTGCGTATCCATCCTCCCAGCAGCTTAAAAAGGTGGTGAAACATAAAAAGTGAAACGCTAAAAGAAAGTGTGGGCGCTCATTTTGATCAGACTGGCAGTCTGCCTCCGAGCCACAGTGCCCGGGCAAGCAGCCAGAGATGGTTCTCCCCTTCGCAGCCACCTACTCTGCCCCCGCCCCAGGAGTTTAGGGAAATCCCACCGACGGCTCTTAAGGGAACTACCAACGGCAAATACAGCCTCTTAACATTTTGGCTGCAGTGTTCTGGCTGAAATGATGTAGGGGCCTTGCATGTGGACAACACACACACACATATACACACACACACGGAGCAGGAAAATTAGGCAATCTGACATGAGCCTGAAATTTCCTAAGATAGCACAAAACTAAAAACTGAATAATTTCCACAAAGTTCAGATGCAGCTTGTCTTCCTCATCAGCTTTATCTTCTATGACCACACACATGATTGATAATCCTGACGTTCCAATGGCCTCAGCAGCCTCACGCTGCAGCGGCTCTGAGAACAGGGATTGTCCTTGAATGATTCCTCAAATGTGTTAGTCACAAACATGCTTTCTTCTAACAGTAAGCATGCCTATCTTGTTTCATGTCCTTCACTGAACAAATGTAGAGCATGCACAACACCAGGGGAAAAAATCAAGCTTCCCCTGTTTGCTTGAGTTTTGCAATGACTTATGATCTCCATCCCAGGGTATACACAGAGCAAGGTTCTCTTCCAAGTTCATGTCAGATTTTTAAAACGTTTGTGTTTCAATGCTCCCTTGTAGACTACAGCCCTAAAAGCTGACAGTATGCAATCATACATTTGTGAGGAAAAATGAAAAATGAGTGAAAGGGGGAATATTTGACAAAGGACTTTTGCCAGTATGTAAGCATTGCTTATCCTGGGGGTACCTTTGATAATTGGATGTATACCTATGGAAATGAAACTCTGTATTCTAAATCACTGGAACCAAAGTAGCCAAAGCATTTTCTGAGAAATGAAGTGACACTACTTTATAAGCTAGTAAGAGTCATTCCTCTGTGACCATGCAGAAAGATAGGCCTCAGAACTGCCCTCCAAAAGATGGAAGAGGGGCCTTCCCATCTGTCTGGGGGTGGAAGTGTGGGTCTAGCACTCCATCTCTGAGTCTTCCTGCTATCCATTTCTCCCAGAAATGCTCTCCAGGATCCAGAAGTGTTCGTATTTACATCTGGCAAAGGTGAAGGTGCATCAGGCTTTAAAATCTACCTAGGATTTTCTACTAAAGTAGAAAATGCTAAAGTAGTTTAGGGTACAAAAGACATTTGCTTTATCTTTCTGTTTCTCTCTATATCAAGGCTATTTCCAAATTTTTTGATAAAAATCATGTTTTAATAATCATATTGAATTGTTGTGCTCATTTCTTCTGTAGAATCTTACAAAGTTAGTAAAGATAACAGTAAAACATCATCACTAATTATTTCATATATATATATCAAATTAATTTAAAATTTAAACAGATGGAAGAAGTATGCTAGTGTGTTTTAGACTAAATTAATCCTTCCTCCATGTGCTTAAATTTTAAATTAATTGTAGGGGAAAAAAGAAACCTTCTGTAAAATAAAAATCTCACAAATTCTAAGAGTACTGTAGCTGCTTGGATAAGGGTGTCATACACAAGTCTCACCCAAAAGGCAGCTTTTCCTCAGATCCTCTGTCACTAAGTTTTGACTCTCAAATAATGTATTTCCTCCTTTTCCTCATCAGTACATGAAGATAAAATTTTCATAGCAATCCAAATGTCAAGTAGGAATTATATAACACAGTCTTTTACACCTTCTTCTTAGTCTCGAAGAGGACTGTCCCTCTGCCGTGCCAACGTGTCACATACCATAGATAAAGCAGACTCTCAAAAGTGTTTTCTTTAAATCTTCTTAGATACATTACAGGCAGAAATCATCAAATCAACATTTTGATACTATGCTCACAGAATTTTGCCTAGTATACTAGAGACTTAATCACTTCTTAACTCCTGGGAGTAGAGAAAAGGAAAGATCATTTCCACGTTAAAGATTACAGAAAGTAAAGGGGAAGAGAGAGGAGGAGACAGTTAAGGAAGGGAAGTGATCAATACATGGAAAACGGGCCTCCTCCACTTGTACACCACATTGAACAACTTTGATAACGCCAAACACATTGCAGAACTTTCTTAATTAGAGCGAGAACTCTCAGCTGAAATTCAGCATGAATACTAGTCAGTATTTTTGGAACAATTACTTATGAAGCTCTTGGTTAGAGATAGCGGCAGAATCCGCCTGGTTGCCATACTGCAGTGCAGACATCAGTGCCGTGCAACCGCTTGCCGTGATTGCTCCCATTTTCCTCGCTGCGTCCTTCCCCATGCTGGACTCAGGACTGCTCTTTCGGCTGACTCGAACTTCCTGACCACACCCACAATTGTTACCTTGGCTATAACACTAACTGGCATTTTGGGAAGAAAAGATAACACAAATGGATGCTTTTCTGTAAAGCAAAATTAGACGGTGCTTGTATTATAAACTATTTTCAAACCCACAAAAACAAAACATACCAGAGTTTGAACAATGGCGTGGTTGGTGGCATTCATATGAGCATTGAGTGGAAAAGAACATTCCCCATCACAATAAAATGCAGCATATCCTTCTGGTGCTATAATCCAGTCCTAAAATCACAAAAAGAAAACAAAATAATATCAACTAAATGAAAATAAAAATGGTTCTTAAGAAATACTCAAAAAAGTCTCATTTGAGTAAGTTTCACGTGGTCCAATAATTACTCTAATAGGATACTTCTTCCACACCCTTTAACATTAAGTGGAAGTTTACAACAACATATAACTATTTTCACAAGAATTGCCTTGTCTAATTTTTCTCAAGGCATTGCTAACTAAGATAATTGTGGTATGCATTACTGTACATATGTATTCATGGTTTAAACTATAATCATGAAATAGCATTCTAAGTGTTAATCAAACAGGAAATGATGAACTCTAGAAAGTTCAAGTGAACCAGAAAGGGCAAGGAGCATACATTTAATTGAGATAATTATCATTATTTCCTAATAACTCATTGTTGGTTTTAGAAATCTGACAACCTCCTACACCTTTAATATTTGTTCCATGGGCTACTTTTCTTTTTATTCTTCTATTATTATAGTTTCTATATAAGAAATGAACTGGGGCAAATTCCAAACCTCCACATGAATAATTTTAGGAAACTGAAAATGTGTTACATGTATGATTGCCCTGGTTTTTCTTCCCCAGATAAATAAAATTTTTATAAATATAAAAATTATTGCCTTATGTATGCTGCAAATGTACATTTTAATGTTATATCTCAGTAAGATAGCTCATATATTGAACATTCATTGTAACAGAATACACAAAGAATCTAAAAATTTCATTTTAAATGGTCCTCACATAGAACCATTAAAAACTATTGCGATTAAATATTCCTGCTCTCTTATTTGGAGATATATTTATGATTTTTAAGTGAGATAAAACATTGTTTTTGTACATTTATTTCATGAAAGAAACATTAATATTGACTTGCTTGTATTAAATGGAAAAGAGTCTATATTTGTAATAAATTAAAAGTTTGGGACATTTAAACAAGAGCACATTTTTATTTTACTTCCTAGATAATGCAGGTTTTTTTTTTCTTCAGAAAGCTGCTTTTGTCTATAAAAGTTATTATGTTTCACTGGTAAAAAGGACAGTAGAGCACTGAAAATGATGTAGATATGCCACATACCGAATACCCATTCAAAACTGACTATTTTAGTGGAAAAATCACAGCAAAGCTTGTGGCTTACTAAGGATTTATGATAAAGCACAAAAGCAATGCCTGAGGCGGCTGAAAATTCTTACCTGCCATCCAAGGTCCCGGAAACTCACGTAGAGCTCGTGCTTTTTGCAGGCTTGCTTTTGTTCACTTGTATTATAATCTGAAGATTTTTAAAAAACGACAGTTTAAACATGTGACAGCAGATCAGACACACATATTTGTAAGACTTTTAAAGGGTTATAGTCGAAGATGTGAAGCCGGAGTTTGAATCTCAAGGCTGGAGCCTCTAAGTCTTGTCCCTTGTGCCGGGTTTCTTCGGTGAAGCGTGGTTGGGCCCCTTGGACCAGGACCGCTCACCACCGCGGGTGCTTGCCCTTCCCTGAGTGCCCGCTGCTCAGCCAGCTTCCACTCACTGTCAGGACAGTACGGGACTCTCGGTGTATTTGTAGGTACTGAATACGCATAGATACGAACACCGCAGACTTAAGATCCCCCAAGCAGAACTTCTGATCACCCCTCAAAAACCTTCCCGCCTCTACCTTTCCTCATCCTTGGCCGAGGCCAATTGCCTAGGCCTGAGAACAAAGTCAGCAGGCTGGGACTCAAAATGTTCTTCTTCCACTCTCACATCCAGTCTGCCAAGCAATCTCGTTTACCACCTTCGAACGGATCCGACCTCCGCCCACACTGCACTCCTCCAGCGCGGCTCCGGGCCGCCCACGCTCAGCCCCGCTGGGTCGCTGCAGCTTCCCCGGTGCCCCTCGCTGGCCTGCAGCGAAGCAGCCCCGTGAGCCCGGTGACGAGGAAACTAGCGTGTGCTCGCCTGCGCGAAGTCCTGCTGTCTCTCACGGCGCTAGGCGTCCTCACCGTGTTTCTCAGCTTTGTGCGGTTCGGTCCATTTACCTCTCTTTTTTGCTTTTCGCCTTGTTTCAGCTATGACACATCCTTGCTGCCGTACTCAGGGTTGAACCTGGCTGTACCTTAGAGCCTTGACCCTCACGGGCCCTGCTCCCCAAAACACTCTTCCCTGTGTGTGGCTGATCCCCCATCCTCAAGTCTGGGCTCAAGCACCGTCCTCACGAGGAAGCCTCGGCTGAGCACCCAGTTACCACTGCAGTAGTCTCAGCTTCTCTTCTGTCTTTCTCTTCCTTCTCATTTCACTTATCATCTCACTTCAGACATGCTAGGTCATTTACTGATTTATTACACGCGCTGTTTCTGGTCTGCTTTCCATCACAGCAAGACTTTGTTTGTCTCGTTTGGTTCTCTGAGGGTCAGGAGCAGGCATGCAGTAAACGGCAGAGCATTAATGAGCAAATTTCTCATCGTGTTCCACCAGTGATTAGAAGCAAAGGAAACATATTATTCCTATTATATATTTTGCAACATAGTCTGAAATACTCATAACCTTTGATAATTTTAAAGGAGTCAGTGTCGATACAGAACCCTGCTCCTGTAGCTGGAACAAAATAAAACACAGAGGAAGCACAGAGCAGTACAGAGCAGTCGCTTTTCTATCTTTCTTTCTCTGAAATTTGTTCTCACTTCCTGTAAATAACTCTTTAAAGTCAATCCACTTTATTTCTGACATGAAATGTGATGTAGAAAAATTATTGCAAGGAATGTTTGTGTGAAGGTGTCCCCTGGCAGTTTAACGGACCAGTCTCTCATGACAAAGTGGGCACCCCACAGGCAAAGGGACATCTGACAGGGCCACATCAGCTGATGTTGTTACTTCAAATAAGTGTTCGTCTGATGGCAGCATAGAATACAGGGTGATACTTAAATTTTGAGCTCAAGAGGACTTTTCTACTTCTGGATCAGCCATTCCCACTGTTCAGCAAATGCAAGTCGAAGTAGCTAAGAGAGGAAAATTAGGAGAGACCTGGCACTTGTGTTCTCTAGGACAAACACCCTACCCTCCACCACAGAGCACAGAGAACTAACCTTAGCTAGGCAATGGACAGGTGTAATTTAATGCGGAACACAGAATGCATACACATCATAAAGGGCCATAAACTGCACGTACAGTTATTTGAATTCCATGCTTATTTTAAAAAAGAAAATAAAACTTAAAGGTCCACATATATCTGTTCCATCAGTGCAGTTCGAATGTTGGCTGAGTGAGGTACATAATGCAATATCACACAGGGGAAGAAACAGTGAAATTTATGACACAACCCTGCTTCCAAGAGTCTGGTTTCATAGAGCTTTAGGACATGTGCTTCCCCCATCAGAAATAAAAATGAATGGGTGCCGAGAGAAGTCCACGCTTTGCCTAACCAGCAACAACTGAAGTTAGCTTTCCTAGGAAGGACCAGCAGAATACCGTGGGAGCAGCGCAAAGGAGTTAGACAGGTATTTTCAAGACATTGACCATCAGCCCGCAGGAGATGAAAATGATATGGGCATAATTCTACTGCTGATAAACCGATCTACAAATGAGGTCAGGCCAGAAATTATTCAAATGTTCTGGTGCCACTGTCAACACAAGAGGAAGTACACTAACACGTCTCAGTCATACTTCTCTGTTTTGTCTTGTAGTATGGAGAAAATCATTTTGAAATGTTGATCATGTTGTCAAATATTTTCAACAAATATCTTTATAATCAATTTCAAGAAATTGTAAATTTAATATTTTTAGGGTTTTTTTTGACAGGTGTCACTAAATCACTATAATGCTCAAGCTAGACTCAAATTTAGGATCATCCTGTTTCAGCCTCCTAGACTGCTGGGCTTCTAAGCCTGTACCACCATGTCTGGCCAGTTTAGTTTCATTTAAGTCAATCATTTTTACCTTAGAAAAAAATTATGAAAAAAACCTCACAAACTATGTGGAGATAAAAAGGCTGTTTTAAAAAATTGGGTTCTTCAGAGACTTTAAATGGTATTCACACCATTTCCTGAAAAGCAAATGAATAAACAGGCTAACCTACCCATGAAGAGGACAACAAACAAGTAAAAAAAAAAAATCTCCATGTGCCAGTAAGGGTTTCAAGGTAGTATTCAGTTCTTTAGGAGGTGGGATGGATAGATAAACAGACAGGTAGATAGACAGGTAGATACATCCCAAATAGAATTTAATATTTAAGCATGACAATAATTTAAATTAGATAAATATAATGAGATACCTCTGCTTCAAAGCAAGAGATGTTAAATTTCTTACTCTCAATTTCCAAAGGAAAGGGGGTAAAGGAAGTCAGTACATACACCGCTAGATCAGAAGACTATAATTTATTCATATAAACAGTAAAATGATAAATGAATGTACAACAGCGTTAAAAAATGAGCAGGACTGGCGCTACGACTGACTATTCAATTATAGACTATTACAAAATGAAACATGATACGGGCTTGAGGAGGGACACCTGTGATGAACTCCCAAAACAGTACCAGCCTCATCAGAGACAGGGGATTTAGAAGCACTGCTGCTCCAGGTTAATCACTGCTTCCCGTACCCACACTCCCCAAACTACCCACTTGAATGTACACACACTCTGAAGGAACTGCTGTGATTATCTGCGCAGGGATAGCTGCGTTTGTCTAAATACGAACCCGTAACACTAAACAGACACCCCAAATAACAGCAATCTAGTGTGTTTTCTTCATTCTACGCGGCAAAGCATCTGGGTGAATGACCTAAGGAACAGCTTCATTTTGGAGTCCATTGACATAAAAACTCAGCCACAGTTTTATTTTCCAGATTTCTAAGTGAAAATTAGATATTTCTAAGTGAAAATGTCCCAGCTGTGTCCTACAGTTTCAACTTATGATCTCGTATTGCTTTGATGCTTACAAGTTTTATTAATGAAATCAGTGTTCACTTAGTGGCCAGTGACAGTAAATGTATTAAATATCTTGATTTCTTTCATTCTCCTCAGATTGTGCATTAAATACGTCCATGCGGCCCTGTCACTTCACCCGTTTCAGTATTCTAGTCCAGAGAGCCCACTGGAAACCCTCTGCACTCTTGGTTACATCATCTTTTCTCAATACCCTCCTCCAGTCAATTTAAAAACTAAGATGATACCTCCTATTCCTGTCTTCCTATATGTCTAATTCTAAATCTCACTCCATGATTTCACATATGCATCATTTCTATGCATACACCAGCCAGTCAACACTGTCCCTGGTCCTTTAGTTGTGTACACTGCTGTGAACTAGACTCATCCACCTGCCATCACCCATTTCTGGAAAATGTCTTGCTCAGATAGGCACCTGAAGTCATTCTTATCCATGATAACAGAAAGTGTGTATCCAGTTTTAATAGTAGGTAGATAGTTGGTAACTAAAGGTACAAGTAGAGCTAGCTAAATCTGTATTATAAGCATAAAATAATTGTTTTAGGAGAGACTTTCAAAATTTTTCATTACTCAATGAAAGATACTGGCTATTAATGTCAGTTTCTATGCAGGTCATTTGGATTAGGAACATTTTCACCTTTTTGATACAAGTATAGCAGTATTTTGCAATGCAGCATTGATTTCCAGGGACTCCATTCGGAAATGACCAAAATGCTTGTTAGAAATGATATGATTAAATAAACTCATTCTAGTGCTATTAAAAATGCTACATCATTTTAAGAGTGAGGTCATTATATTTAAATGATTAAGACACTCTTAAATGCACATAAAATATGTGATTCATGTAATTAATGCACATAGCAAATATATATTCTCTCAAAAGATATATACATGGAGAAAAAAATTTTAGAAGTACATATATCAGTTGATATCAGTGTAGTGGGGTAATAAATTTATGCATGACTTTATTATTTTTAAATACTAAAAGTGTGTATTAATCCTTTATCAAAAATTTCTCAAAAAAATAACTCCAGTTAACTCTATTTTCTTGTTTAGATTAATATTTTTACTAAAGGCCAGAAACACGCCTGTCAGAGGTGAGAGTGTGCCGGATGCTCCAGCGTGGTTCACTGTGTGAAAGTCTCACCCTGAGAAGCTGCCGTGGGTTGGGTGGGGCCACGGCAGGGTGCCTCCACTTCCCAAAGTCCTTTCTCCTGGGCAGGCAGCCAGCAGACCTTGCTAGCACTTCTTCCGTGAGCTGGGACTCGCCATCTTTCTTGTTTGTTCTTCCAGATTCTTAATGCTGTATGGTTTAGCATTTGGTGTGGCTCTTAGAATATCATGCTCTGTAGGTTCTTTTAAAAAAACCTCTTCGGCCACAGTGTCTCTATGTCTTAAAAGACTGGTTAGCTTACAGTGTAACTATGGCCTCGATCTCTTTCTCCTACATAGTGAAATTTCAAGGAAATGTCCATTGTGCAAACCCGGTATGAAACACACAGTATCTCCCACAATGTGCTTGTTCAGACTTCTTGCCAGAACACAAGAGAGGAAAAGCCTGCCCAGGGAGGTGGTGGGGAAGCTTCTACAGAAAAGCCAGGAGCAGTGGCTCTATCCACATCCACTGAAAAGAGGGCATAAATTTCCCCGTGAAATCAACACCGTAACTTACTGAGCGAGGATCTACAGGGGCCCCGCTCTGTGCTACAGGGCTCTCTTGTGAGAGCTCCACAGGAAAAAATGGACATTGAGAATTCCGAAGGCAGGAATCTTTGAAATAGGAAAGAAATAGGGTAAAGATGGCAAGAATGACCTGGAGTTTAATTCTCCTGCATCCTGCTCAGTTTGACACTTTCCACATTTGACGATAGGCTTTGAAAAAAATGCAACCAGGCAAATGCTCAACACACCTCTTCCCTAACCACCTTCCCTGCCAGGGACCTTACACAGTGTTTTATTGTAACAGCATAGTACTATTATAGAGTTTATTATTTATATTTAGATAATTTTAAAATTTCCTTGGCATTTCTAGTCTCCCAAGTATCAAATTTTCTGTTTATATTAGCATTCCCTTTTCTTAAAGCCCTGTCTTTTAAGCCAAATCCTAGGAGGCTTTTCCCAGTCTGCTTGATTACTACCTATTGAAAGGTTAGGTCTCAGAGACACAAACCAGCTACTTTTTTCCTTTTATTATCAAAATATGAACATGCTCCAAAACCATCTACCACGTATTTCACAGAAACAGATGCCAATGACAAACTTTTAAAAAGAAAATATTGGTCTATATTAGAAAAATTTCGTACTCTAAATGGTGTTAGGAAACTGGTGAAAAGTTACATGATTTCTGCACCATGTGTTTTATTCATCTATGGTTACAGAAGTACATTTGTTACTTGTGGTCAGGAGGAAAAGATAAATAGAGCTAACCAATAGGGAAAAGGACTTTGATGATTTCGGTTGCTGGAACACCTCTGCCAAAGTAATTATGACCTCCAGTAATAAGCATGAGGCTTATATTTTCCCTTTGTAATTGCCTCAAAAATTATTTACTATTCTATTCAAAGTTCACCAAGCTCCTTTCTTAATGTAGTCTGCTACATTAAATTAAAAACATTTCAACCAAATTCAGAGTCATTCTACATGAAAAGGAAAATATACAACTTTGACAGGCTAATATTTACAAAAAGAAATGGTCTTAGAAAGTTATTTTTCTTCATCTTCATATTAAGCAATTACAACTTTTTGCCAACCTAAATATCTTGTGAATATCATTACAAAACAGTTTTGTAATTACCATTAATACCATCTTTTACTTTCAAGTGAAAAAAAGCAGTTAAGTATCTTTGATAAAAATGATTTCAAAACAAATTTCTACATAGAATGTAACACAGTGAAATGTAATTTGATGTAGGATCTTCCCTTTGATTCTGTTGCTAGATACACTAAAAAGGACTTGATCCTAACATTATTGTCCAGTGCCTCCCCTTCGGGAAGGCTGCAACAGATCCATGCAGCATTTTGCTAAGAATCCCAGGCACAAAAACAAATCCAAGAAAGAAACATGTTGTTTTGTTTTGATTTCACTTATAATCGTCTACTTCTTATTTAAAAGCTCAAGTATATTTGAATAGTAAATAACTGCTGGATGATTCGTCATTTTCAAAGTAAACTGAGAAAGCCGAAGATTTTATGAATAATGTGGAAGCAACTTTAAATTAAAATTCTGATTTGCTGAAACCCACATTAAGAGCCCTGTCTGCCTTGTGCATCGGTTTATCCTCGCCTGCATTCGCTGACCACGAACGCGGGAGAGTACACATTGCACAGGCAAGCAGCCATGCCGCGTGGAGTTTGGACGTTCTAGCGTCGGGACGCCCTTTCAAATTTGTTTCATAGATGAAAATAATTTCTTAGAAGAACACAGCCCTCATTTTCATCTAAAAACAGCTTGTTTTCAGCCTGGACTAAACAAGACGCTTCCCAATGTAAATACTATGGTTAAACTCACTTCAGGTTTTGGAAGTTATATGCTTTTGATTAATTGTAATTTTATGTTCTTTTCTGTCAAAAATCAATTAAAGCCCAAGTATGCTGACATCAGCTCTGCGTTTATACTATTTTGTTGACAGATTTATACATACGTGTAGAGTCACAGTCACGGCACGTACCCCAAACAGTGGTCCTGCACACAATTAATGGAAATACAAATGTCGCCGTGATTCTCACCAACCTCTCCTGCTTCTTTCAGAAACGATTTCTGGAAAGGATTTTCGGGAAGCATTTGGCCTTCGTGATTCACATTTCAGGACTAAAGAAGGACTTCACGCAGAATTTGCCTGGTGGACTGTTCACATTTCAGAGGCCTGGGGATGTTGGCTCAGCAAGTTGTGCTGTTCAGCTCTGGCCAGGCTTTGCTGGCCTAACCATTCCACAGTTTTAGTACTGCCAGCCTGATTTTAATTTGAACAGAATCTTTCAACCTAGTCAGACTGCTTTCAAAATAAATCACTGAGTGATTCACTGATGAAACATTCTGGGGATGCTAGACACATCCCGAGAAGATTTAAAACACCAACTAAGGTGCACAGAGAGGGTAAATTTATTGTGGCAACTTGATTTGCAACGTACGACCCCATAACTCTGTGTACACGCTCTCACGTTCCTCTTACCTCCAGCACTGGACATCCTGGAGGAGTCCTGATGAGAGCTGGATTTATTGCGGCTTTGATTTTTCCGCTTGTTGGCAGCTCTCACAGACCGAAGGAGAACCTCACTGGCCTTGAAGAAGGCCACCATGAATGGCTGCTTAGACTGAGGCCCGTGTCTGCCGACGAGGCCCGCGGACTTCACGTTGATACTGCGTCCTAGAACACAACACATGAGCACTTGGTTCATGGATAAAAGACCAAACAGACTTTACCTGATGTGAATTCATTCTAAGGATACTTTGCAAATGGAAAAGTTTTAAAACATTATCAAAGTCTTTTCCTCATAGGGTGAGATCTTACAAACATTGAAATTATTGAAAACTAATTATCCACCATTAGTTTTTCTTTTTTGCTGGTTTTTTTTTTTTTTTTTTTTTTTTTTTTTGAGACAGGGTCTTGCTATGCAGTTCAGGCTGATCTTGAGCTCCCTTTGTAGCCCAGGCTGGTCTCGAACTCACAACAATCCTGCCTCAACCTCCCAAGTGCTGGCATTACAGGCGTGCACCAACAAGCCCTGCTAGCTTTTCACTTTACTTTGTTCCGCCACTTGAGAACATCTTCAAGCTGCAGTCGCTCACTAGAGTCGTCTCACACCTTGAAATCAGGAGTTCTGCAGTAGAAAGGCTAGACGACCCATCAGCCTGCAAAGTCCACGTTAAAGAACAACTCCAAAGTACTGTATTAGCTGCCAACCCCCACTCAGTGTCTCAGAACTCCTCCTTGAGTGATAATAACTGCCGAATGCTTGGAAGGGTGTTTCGATGTTCCTCAGTTTATCTCAACCTTTTGTAGGCTTTCTTCTTTCTCCTCTGACCAACCTTATAATGTTGCACTCTATTTAGACTCTTCACTGGTCATTTTGGAAGACTGAATGGGAGCTAGAGGCTTGCTTTAAGCTCTGCTTCATCCACGTTATGGAGTATTTTGAAATAAACACTGAAATTTCACAATTCTTCTACCTCTAAATTTAAAGTCTGGAGACTTTCAGAAGAGGAAAATTTCCAGGCAAGTGTGAAGACCCATCTTTTCACTTACACTAACCTATTATTTAACTCATACTGGCCTGTGGACGTGGCCACACATCAGAGAACAGGGGTGCAAGCAGGGCCTGTATAGGTGAGAAGTCCAAGTCAAGGTGCCCTGGGAACTGGCAACTGCTGTTAACGAAGGGCCCCTCACACAGGGCTGCTAGTAACATATTTATCATCTTACCCACCTCAGATGTGTTTGCAGTCATATATGTGTGCTTGCTATGTATATGCTGGGCAGTTCTCTAAGTGGTTTCAATCATTACTTAGTATGATTCCACAAATATTACAGCAACAAGTATTACTACTCCCCCCTTTGATAATATACTTTTATTAGGCTCTTCTAATTTAAAATAATTGTTGCTGAAAATTATATATAACATATTATATGCAAATAAATACTAAGTAATATGTGACTTTATGTAACATCACATTAGATATAGTATATCTACAAAGAAAACTATTGACTGAGATCTGGTTCCATAGAAAGCATCCAAAGAGGGTGAATTGCTTAACCTTAAGTTGTAAATTTAATTGAGAATTACTGAAAACTTATGCAAAGTTACTACTCCAGATATGGGAGTTAGCAAGGCTGTAAGAGTAGTATATAATGTGGCTCAAAGTATGTGCGTGATTGACTCTGGTCTGCCCCCTGAGAACTGTGCGTATTTTCTTAAAATATTTATTCAGTAAAGACTGTGGATCAACCTCAGTCTGTTATAAGACCTGACCCATGTTAGAAGAAAGAAAGAGAAAACAAGGCCCTGAAACAGCATCAGTGGCATTTGAGCAAATAGCCCCTTGCTCTTAACAAAGCTCATTTCGCCAGCACAAACACTTTTGTGCATACTTGCATTGTGCAGAGACCTTCTCACTTCAGAACATGAGACCGTGTAGCGTGAGACTGTGCAGCTGTTGGGAGGGACACAGAAGCGCTTTAAATGTGAAGACTTTGGTTTTAAGAAGACAGTCTGCACCGACTGAGGCAGCATGGGTGTCCTCAGCAATTATTCTACAGCATCCTGGGGAAACGTGTCTCATCCATGCAAGTATTAAAAATGCCATCTGCCTCACAAATGCCACTATCCTTACTCCTACCAGAAAAGGACTTACAAATAATCAAAGCAGTAAACCTTAAACAAATAAGCATATAGGTTTTTCTTTTAAGTGCAAACTTACAATGGCTCTGTGCCAGAGTCTATATTTCTTAGAAAAACCCTATCACTGGCGTAAATGAAAGAGGCAGTTTGATTTGTGGTCAGAGCAGTTTCCATACTGCTTCCACTGTAACAAATGTATTAATTCAGCTCAGACTTCCTCCTTCTGGCAGCTCTTCTGCTGCAAAAAGAGAAATCAGAAGTTCCAGCCAAATACCATACCTTGAACTGACCCACTTCAATACATAAACACTTTTACAACATGTTTATTCAGGTGTAGCACTTGAAATTGGTTTAAGATGTTTCCAGTGACAGAAAGCTCAGCAGAAGAAAGAGGGGGCTGGTGGAAGAACCAAGAAACTTAACTGTTATGGAATAAAATAACTAGCGATCTGTTCTTCAAATTTCTGATTTTTTGCAGCCTTGGAGTACACCATGAAAAAGTATTTGTTGAAGCTTTTTATTTTGATATTTTAATGAAGTGTTAATTTAACAGAAACTAATTTTTACTTGTGTGCATTGATGACTGCAGAAATAAGTTTAATATATGAACTTTCTAATATGAAAATAAGTGTGTGCAAGGTGTTCGTACATGGACTATAGAAAAATCAGTTTTCCATTCATTACAATACACACTGACCCTTTTATAGTTAATATAAACTTCTCCAAGTTTCCTTTGGTTGGCAAAAAGGTTTCTTTGATTTTTATTCCAAAGACTCAATGTTTTAATTTTTATCTATGGAGAAATAATACTGCTGTAAAGATTTATGTTCTGAGAACTGCAAAGAGTTATGTATGCTACAGATACGGTTTCTGGGGTTTCACAAAGGTACTTGTTGTATGTGGAGCAAAGTACCCTTCAAATCAATGTGAACTCCATTTAAAATAACTTTAATATTAAGTTTCCTTCTGGCTTCTTTTTTACTTTAGCAATGCGGGGCCCAGTAGGATTCCATACATTAGTGCTTGCTCAGTTACCCTAGGTTCTGAACTACATCATACAACCATTAACTGTAAGACCTGCTCCTCCACACCCAATGGGCCTATTGATCACACTGAAGAATCCTTCTCAGTGGCTCACTGGTCCTTTTGTTCAAAATGCTGATGGAAACCCAAACTCTATTGCATTCATTGAAAATAGTGAATTCTCTATAAAACTTTATTTGATCATTATGAATTTGATTATTAAATGTACAGTATGTTGTAAGTATTGTTACACATATAACTAAAGAAGACTACAACATTTTTATTTAGGAAAACTGTATATGCCCCTTTCACCATGGATTTTACTCTTCAAAGCCAATCCTTATTTTTGAATGGTTTCTACTTTAGATAGATAAATAGTAGGTAGATAAATAGACTGATAGAGCCACAGTAGTGAAAGGGAGCTGTTGAGGAAAGGGGGCCAGGATGCCAGCTAGAGCCCGCGCTCTGCCACCTGGAGCTTCTGATTCATCTGAGCATACCTGGAACACCAATAATTTTAATCTTACAACTGTATATTTACATAAGGAATGAACTGTTTCACAGGCAACAAGTCACTGGGAGGAAATGGTTAACCTCTAACGCATAAATGTGGAGCAATATCCCAGGTAGTATAAAGAGGTAGTAATTTTTGAGTCTATAACTCAGTTTTTTTCTGACATAGTTGCATTTCTTGTCTTTTTTTAATTTTAAAGGTAAAAGAATGAAAACATCTTAACAAACACATATACATTTAGAAAATAACACAAAAACAATACAATCAGTATGTTAATTTCCTATAGCATAGTTGCATTCCTAATTCCTAAAACTGCAAACAATTCAAAGAAAAATCAAATAATATTTTTTCACCCAAATGTGTGACATTGGAGGACAGAGGAACATCACTTGGCTCTTAGTGACCAGTGTGTGACACAAGTGCTGGAGAAATACTCTCCCTGCGCTGGCCAAGTGACCTCTGAGCTGTTCCACAGCAGGTCAGGAGATATCTTCCATCTCAGCATCAGCGATAGGGATGATTTCAGAGGGGTCAGCTCCCTGGAGACCATCAGCTCAGGGAGGTGATGGCAACAGGAGTTTTAACAAGCACAGTGCCAAAGCGGGCTTCAGTGACTGCTGTGGGGTCAAGTGGCCCCAGGAGCACAGACAGCTCCCCTAGAAAACATCTCTGTCTTGGTACTGTGGGTGGGGAAGAGGCAGGGAAGTATTCGAAATGGGTGTCCTGAAACCAGAAGTGAAGAGTGTGCTTGCCGGGAGTTGTTCAACTTAAATGCACTTGTGTGGTCCTATGCAAACGGAAGGAGGCAGGAGAACGCGAAGAGGAGGTTGAAAAGTTTCTGTGAAGGATGTACCAGTGTTCTGGAGATCTTGCTCATGGTAGCCAGTCCCAAAGGAATGTGGTGTGGGCACAGTGGCCCCAGCAATGCATATAATGGAGCTCTTGGATAATGAAGTGCAAGGGAAAATAAAAAAAATTATACAAGTCCAGTGACTGATACCAGCATAGGTGTTGTCTTTTTGTTTTTGCATTTAGAAAGAAAGAATGTCCATTAAATCTTTGTATATAAAAAGATTTTTTTGGAACTATTCGTATGTTGCCCAAATGACTTTTATTTGAAAATTGTTGTACAGATACCAAGGTAAGAGAAAAAAACTTTGAACATACATATACAGACATACAACTCCTTGACTTTATTAGCTAGTGTAAATAAAAATAGGGTCTGGTCCGTTTCTTCTAAAGAAACGATTATTCTATTTACACAGGAATTAAGAAGGAAGTACAGTAAGTCCCCGACCTAGGAATATTCAAGTTGCACTTTCACAGATGTTACTGGCTGTCCATTACTCAGATTCAAACAAATTACAGCAGCAGCACACGTGTCTGCTGGACATAGCCACAGCCATGCGTCCGTGTTCTCCCTGGGCAGTGCCATGGTGCACAGCAGCACGGCATTCACTCAGGGCCCAGGACATCCAGAAGAAGAGGAAA